ATACTCCAGATCTACTTAAGTTACTCATACAACAACGGGTGCAAGGGAAAAACTCGGCCATCCGGATCAAAAACCCTCGCCTACAAACTCAAAACATAAACGAAACCGTCGCTATCACGAAGGATTCCAACGGCCGCACTATCAGGGCAGGACCAAGGCAGGACAGATTGGACAGGCCACGCTGATTACACACCCGAAGCAATTGGTCAAAAACCCTAAGCTCCCGCCGCGGGTGACGCCCCTGCCCAACGCTTCCTGCGTGACATACCATGGTCCGAGACGCGCCCAGTGCTAGAACAAAACAAAACAAACGCCACGAAAACGAGACCAGAACCCTACATCGGCAGGTTCATCAGAGCCTCCGGTGGTACTCCAACTTGCCCCTACCAAGGACCTTGGTCAGCATATCGGCGTGCTGCTCTTCTGTCGAGACATAATCTGCGGTGATCTTGCCCGCCTTGAAGAGCTCGCGGATGAAGTAGACCCGGTCGCTGCCACTGCCTTCCTAAAGCTCAACTACAAGCAGCTTGAAGGCAAAGTGGACTCCGACGAAGTTCGCCTCAAGATCTGCTGGATTCGCCTTCTAGCAGCCAAGAGCGGACTCTTCCATCCTGGAGTAGACCCGGAGCAATACCATTGTATCTACAACCAGGTCCTCATTGCTACTCAGCTGCAACAGAACGAGGCCCAAGAAATCAGGTTCCCTGCTTCCGCTCTCGCACGTCTCCGCGAATGGAAGCAAGGTGCTACTACCGATTTTACGGACATGGTTTGCCTGCTCGCCTTCATCTTTAGTCAGCGCTGACTAGTAGTCTCACCCGATCACATTCAGGTTCTGAAAGCTGAACTGGCTAACTTCATGTTTGACGAAGACTATGCGGCTACGATCAACGGCATCAACCACTTGGTGAATGCAGAAGGCGAGACTGAAGTCAATGACGAAGCCTATCAGGTCATATATCCTGTAGGAACCAAGGACAATGACCACACTCGCCGCCTTCTTTGCTTGTAGTTGAGCTTTAGGAAGGCAGTGGCAGCGACCGGGTCTACTATATCAGTGCCGCGAGTGTGGTCATTGTCCTTGGTTCCTACAGGATACATGACCTGATAGGCTTCGTCATTGACTTCAGTCTCGCCTTCTGCATTCACCAAGTGGTTGATGCCGTTGATCGTAGCCGCATAGTCTTCATCAAACATGAAGTCAGCCAGTTCAGCCATTAGAACCTGAATGTGATCGGGTGAGGAGGTGTCGGGTACTGTACAGTCGTACAGTCTGTGTGTCCCCTCCTCTCTATTGCGGCAATCAGAATGTGGAACCGCACGTCGATATGCTTGCTCCTCGCCGAGCTGAAAGGGTTCTGCACCAACGCGAGAGCCCCCTCGTTGTCCTCACGGACCCTGATCGTGGCACCGCTCGTCTCGGGCGCAATGAACGACAGAACACCACGCACGAACAACGCTTCCTTCACGCCCTCCCCGGCTGCAATATACTCTGCCTCCGTGGTCGACTGAGCCGTCACTGGCTGTGTCTTCGTGGATGCGCACACTACGGTCCCACCTACAGTCACGGCTAGCCCCGTCGTCGAACGCCTGTCAACGGTGCTGTCGGCGTAACTAGAATCGACGAACACGTCTAGGTCTAGCCCTGATCCGCGGACGTAGGTGATCCCGAGGTCCTTCGTCTCGTTGAGGTAGGACATGATCCGCACAAGCGCGTTCCACATCCTCTCGGTGGGTGAGTGGGCGATCTTCTGCAGCTTGTTCAAAGGCAGCGCGATGTCCGGCCTCGTGAACAGCAACCACATCAGGCATCCGATCGCTTCCCTCACGGGCTTGTCCACCGAGGACTCGTCGTCTCTCTTCGGCCCTAGGTCATCGTCGACGACAGCGGG